GACTCAGCAACAAGACTAGCAGCGTAGTCTAGACGACAGGTAGCAGCAAAGTCCAGAAGCTCCGCAACTAAGGCAGACGCATTCTCAGCAGTAGACTCAAACGATGGGTCACTGACTATTATGGCCAGGAGACGCATGACAGTAGGGTGAGCAGCACGAACAGTGTCAGACTCAGGGTCCCGAACGACAGGAAGAGAGGACGCAGGAGGAGACGGCAGGGGGACACGCTGCGGAACAGAGGAAGGACGAAGTGCCATAGTGTGAGTACCTGGCACAGGGGGAGGACGCGGACGAGGAACACGATGAGCATGGTGATCAGTGCGAACAGGAGAGGCAGGACAAGACGCAGGCTCACGACACTTTGTAAGAGAGACTGGCTGCTCTGTGTAAGGAAGGGGGGCAGGCAGCGGTGAGTCTGGAGGAAGGGCAGTGGACGAAGGAAGACTAAGAACCTGACGGAGCACCGACTCGGGCGGAAGCTCGGACAGCTGCGGCGGCGGCAAGAAAAACGGTCACTGCTGTATTGTACCTCCAGCTCCAGTACCTCCAGCTCCAGTGCCTCCAGCACCAGCGGCTCCAGCACCAGTGCCTCTAGAACCAGCGCCTCCAGTGCCAGTGCCTCCAGCTCCAGCGTCACCAGCTCCAGTGCCTCCAGCTCCAGCGCCTCCAGCGCCAGTGCCTCCAGCTCCAGTGCCTCCAGCTCCAGTACCTCCAGCGCCTCCAGCTCCAGTGCCTCTAGCTCCAATGCCTCCAGCGCCAGTGCCTCGAGCTCCAGCGTCACCAGCGCCAGTGCCTCCAGCTCCAGTGCCTCCAGCGCCAGTGTCTCCAGCTTCAGCATCACCAGCTCCAGCAGCTGTACTCCTAAGGCGGGTGCGCCGAGCTAGCCACTCGCGCAGCTGCTGTGGTGAGAGGTGCAGGGTTAGCATTCCAGTCCGCTAACCGACTCGGCTAAAAGGGCATGTTTCCTTGGTGGGTCAGCGCACCCATACCCCCCCAGGACGACACCTGTTGCCCTTAGGGAGACCACTTCGAGCCATTCCAGTGTCCACTTCCAACACTCCCCTCACTGGGAGGGCCCACCACTAGGGCACAGGAAGTCACCAACAGCAAGAATCGAACCCCGGTCCTCCACGCTCGCCGCACCTTGCAGGGATAGCATTCCAGTCCGCTAACCGACTGGGCTAAAAGGGCATGTTTCCTTGGTGGGTCAGCGCACCCATACCCCCCCAGGACGACACCTGTAGCCCTTAGGGAGACCACTTCGGGCCATTCCAGTGTCCACTTCCAACAAGAGGGGCTTCCGCTGAGGAGACCGCGGAGGTGAGGCACCCGGAAGACCACCAGTAGACGTAGCACCACCAGGCTCAGCACCCCCAGAACGAGCACCCCCAAGCTCAGCACCCCCAGGCTCCGCACGCTCAGGCTCAGCACCCCTAGGCTCCGCACGCTCAGGCTCAGCACCCCTAGGCTCAGCACCCCCAGGCTCCGTACGCACACGCTTCTTCAGCACCCCTAGGCTCCGCACGCTCAGGCTCGATACCCCCAGGCTCAGCACCCCCAGGCTCAACACCCCCAGACGCAGCACCCCGAGCAGCACCACCCCCAGCAGCACCTGAGTCACCAGTGACCTCGACAGGCTCAGCCAAGGGAAGTGGGTCTACCTTAGACACACCAGAAGAAGCAGGACCCTGAAGGGGGAGGGGATCTACCGGAGGGGGATCTAGAGCGAGGACGAGCGGTGGGGGGGGGAGAGGGGTAGTGCGGTAGGGGAAGAGACGGTAAAAGGGAACCGACTCGTCAAACGTGACGTCCTGAGAAGGCAGAACCCGGCGCGAGGTGGGGTGGTAAAACTACCAGCCAGGCGCGTCAGGAGGAAAGCCAAGGAAGACGCAGGGAATGGTGCGAGAGGAGAGCTTGCCCGCAGAGGTATTACGGACAAAGGCACGAGAACCCCAGACCCGGAACGCGGACGCATCGCCAACCTCCCCCGTCCAACGAAGTGTAGGCGAGGTCTCCGGCAAGGAGACACGGGGCCAGAGGTTGAGCTGATGCGCCGCGTACCGGACCGCAAACGGCCACAGAAAATGGAAAGCAACCGCATGGATCATGGAGGTACGAGCGACCTCCATGACTAAGCCAATGCGGCGCTCAGCAATCCCATTCTGCTGTGGGGAGGCCGGAAGCGTGAACGACTGGAGGATGCCCTCCTCTGAGAAAAGTCCCTCAAGAGGTCGGAGGAGAACTCACCACCTCTGTCAGAGTGCAGACGCAAGACAGGAAGGTCCGTGCGGAACTGCTCGTGCAGCTGGAGACGGACAGCTCGGATCAAAGGGATCAAGACAACAGGGACCTCCCCTTTGCTGCGCAAGGGGAAGACCGTGGTGTAACGCGAGTAGTTGTCGACAACCAGCAAAAAGTATCGCTCGCGGCCCAATCCACGAACGCGGGCTGGGCCCCACACGTCCACGTGGAGAGTCTGCAGAGGAGAAGTCGTCGGGGGAAACGAGAAGGGGTGAGGAGCGGCGCGCTGCCGTCCTTCGATGCAAGGAATGCAGGGCGGGGCAGGCGAGGGAGGGAGGGCAGGCAGAGACCTGGGAAGACCAGTAACCAGGAGGCGAGTGTGCATGCTACGAAGACGTGGCAGGGAGGGTGACCAAGGCGGTGGTGCCAAAGGAGAGTCTGGTGCGACAGGAGGCGACACTCGCAGGGGGCTGCTACCTGACCTGACGCGGACACCTGAGCAGACGCAGCGACCTGAGGCGGCGACATGGATAGGGGCGAAAGGGATGGAAGCATAGGGATGGGAAGGGAAGGAAAGGAGAGGGAAGGAACGGGAAAGAAACGGAAGGAAAACGGAAGGAATGGGAAAAAATTGAAAGGATAGGAAAAAAGAAGGTAGGGAAGACATGATGGAGGAGAAATGGAGTGCAAGGGTATAGAAAGCCTGGGTTTACAAAGCAAACATACTAGAATGCAGAAAATGGAAGAGACTTGGAGGATCTCCCTGATAACATGAACGATAGGTTGCCTGTTTGCAGAAGGTCCGGAGGTCTCTGCTACTTGGAAGTTGGCACAATGTTTGACAATACACCAGTGGCGCCGTATCTGAACACAACGAGAATCAACAAGGCCATGATGGGGATGCGGCAGGTGCTGGCTGGTACTCCTTATAGCAAAATCACTACAAGGACGAGTTTGCGGGATGGGCCTCAATAGCTAACGACTACAGTGGCGGTAAATCAGCTCGACATGTGGGAGAACGTTGCGGTGCTGCTTGGTTTTGGAGTGTTTGTGCGGTTTGTCACATTCCTGCTCCTGGTGCGGTTCAGTAAAGCTAGGCAGCGGTGAGAGGCTGATATGTTTAGGGCACGTATCTTTCGGTGTAGAGGTTTAAAAATAAGGTCGACCTTTTGCTGGGTACTCGCTTCACCAATTTCGTATAGTGTTCTTCGTGAGACTCGTGTGTCATGGTTAAAAAATTTATGAAGGGGTAGGACACTAAACTGGGGTCGAACTCACGTACGAATTCTGGGTTGCACGATAAGTCAATCGTGTGTCCTAATGGGCATGCATCCTGAAGATGCGAAGTACGCGACAGTATGTGAAATTATAGATTGGCCGCGAATCATGTGTTGCACGCTGTCAAGGCGTGAGAACCGGGTAACCTACGAATGCTGGACGCGACTCGAAAGTTTGTGTACCGTATAGTTCCGGCTAGAAGACCCGGGGGACTCTCTAGAATTGCTTGAAAAAATGCTAGGGTGGACATCTTGGCGGTTGCAAATTTTTAAGACCCGGGGTACACTTATTTATCATCTATCAATCTGTTATTTAGGGTGTACAGCTCAACTTGGGGCAGGGGGGTCTTATATTCGTACCGAATTCGCGCAAAATTCGCACGAGCGGCGCGTCAGATCTGTGTCAGAATTCGAATCCGACACAAGTTAAGTGTCAGAATTCGAGTCTGACACAAAAAGTGTGTCAAAATTCGAATTTGTCCCAGTAAAAACTGATGCACAATAGCAATCATAACTACTGTATACAAAAAAGGGGGGTCTTATGATGATTAGAGGCAAAGGGGGGGTCCTCACAATATCTGCCACAATAAGAGTCCCCCTGCCCGTTCAAGAGTCCCGGGGGACTTTCTTACTGGCGGGTCTTCTAGCCGGAATTATACGGTATAAAGTTGAACCTCGATACTCGAACTTTGGTGTGTCATGTGATTTTTGTAAGAAATATTTCGCGATTCGGGTCCAAAAGCCGAGATTTCCGAGTACAAGTCGATCTAGTTCAAGCCTTAAAATTCGATAAAAAAAAACATGAACTTGGCAGTAAAATTCAAAAGATAAGCGCCTTTATGCTCTATTCGACAAGCATTGTAACAATAACATAATTCTTTTGTCAGAGGTCCACTGGAGATCCCCGATTGATCCTAGGGAAGGGTTACAGGCACGCGGCATGGGGGGTTATGGGCACACTCACCCGCTACACAAACAAGCCATTTTATCCCAGTGGTTAGTGGCTAAGATTCTAACATCTTCATCATCCTTGCTAAAAGATGTTGTGGAATATGCAGCCAAAAGACGTGCGGTTGTTATTCCAGAGTATGAACTAGTGATTGTAAATCCTGAGATTCATTCTATTTCATTCTGTTCTTCTACCGTATAAGGAGGAGGGTGATAAATGTGAGACCAAATTAAGAATATTGCCACTCAACAGAAAAAAAAAACAAACATAAGTGGTTGTCTTGGGTCGACTCTAGAGAGCAATAACGAAGCGTCCATCACCGAGTCTCTCAAAAAGTCGACCAAAGACCCCACGCGAACAACCCGACATCCCCCCCACCTCCACCTTTCTGCCTTCCCCCCTCCCCTCCAAACCCCATCCCAATTGTCCCCCTCAAATGCCACTTTACCCCACTGCTAACCTTCACTCCTCTCCGTGATCCACGCTTGATTCAAAGCTTCCTCCTCATTTCAGCTTGAGTTCATAGCATCTATCTAATAGCCACCACCACGCCCACCACGGCCACCACGGCCACCAGCACCACCAGCGCCACCAGGGCCATCGCCGTCACCGTCAGGCCCGTTACCACCACGCCCGCGACCGCCACACTTGCCGAAGTTCCCCGTGAGCGCGGCGCTCCAGGAGTTGCCGGTCGTGCTGTCGGTAAAAATGACCGCGTAGGGCGAGTCAGTCGTGGTGTCGGTGGTCCCAATGAACGTCGCAAACAGCGCCTTGGTCTTGGCGCCCATCCACGCCAGGCGCGCGCCCTGGCGCTTCAGGAACTGCTGCGTCAGCTTCCCCGCGCTGTTCCCCGCGAGCTCGCGCCCGCGGCGGCGTCCGCCGAAGGCGTTCTGGAAGCCCTGCCTCGCGCCGTTAATCACCTTAGTGAACGCGTTCTGCGTCACCGTCGCGTTCGGCACGCCCGCGAGAAGCGCCTCGACGACCGTCGCGTCCGCTCCTTCCACGGTGCCCGTCACGCGCAGCTCCGTGTGCGATCCACCGCCGCCACCCCAGCTGCCGCGACCGCCGCGCGTCTCGGTGGCCCAGCCGGTGGACGGCAGGGAGAGAGCGGCGGTGGCGGTCGAGTCGCACGCGGCGCCCTGCACGATGCTGATCGTGTCGGGAGCGGTGCCGTCGTATTCGTCGAGATCGGCGTCAAAATAAAGGTTGTAGACGGGCGTGCCCGACGACTCGTCCTTAAAGACGGCGAGCAGGAACTTTCCGCGAGTCGCACCGATGTCCGCCGTGCAGTTGGAGACCCACGCGCCCACGCGACCTGCGGAGGATACGAATGGGCGCGGGAAAGAAGGGGAGGGGAGGGATGGGGGTTCGGGGGAAGGGGGGAAAGGGACCAGCGCACATTCGCATCTGATAGCGAACGGAAATTTCAGGAAAAAAAAAGGTTTTGGGTATCACATTGTGAGGGGATTAACGAATACGACAGACGGGTGCGTGCTAGACGGTACATTCGTCGCACCTGTGAGATTGCCGGTGACGGACGCGTCGATTGGCGGGCCGTGCGGGCCCCTTCCGCCGCGGCCTCCGCAAAACCACCGGGGCCACCACCCCCGTGACCGAGAACTGCGCAGTCAATGCAAGAAAAAAATACGACATCGGATGTTGTAAGTTCACGCGTCGGAAGACGTAATGACACATTGACACCCGAAGAGACACGTTTGACAATCGAGGAACGGGCGCTCTGGCGAGGTGTTTAATTCAAGCAAGGAAGCCGGGGGTGGTAGGCGTCTACGCTGGACCAATCTTGTAGACGAGTTTTTCTGAGCAACGAGCATACCAGGTGCGACGAGGAGCAGGACGAGGAGAGGAATAAGACCGGCGCGCGTCATCGTGGCTTACGATCGAAGCAAGTTACGCCAAAGAATGTCGATTAAGGAAGCTACGAATGCAGCGTGTGTGGGAGTGGTTGCCGAAGTGTGCTCTGCTAGTGAACGAGGGAATGGCGGCAGTGGTATTTGTACAAGAGAATCCAGAGCAATTCCAGGCTGGTGCACAAACAGCTAAGGTCGCACTGCGCAGACTGCGGACATGTGAGGGGGAGACTGGTCAGATCGTTCAACAGTGTGGGACTGGTCAGATCATTCAACAGTGTGGGTCGCGGTCCGCGGAGACCAACCAAGCCCAGGAAACATGCATTCTGGTCATCGCTTTTCAGCACATCAATAACATAATTTCAGCTGCCCAAAGCTGGCTAGTGTGTAAATTAACTTCTTTAAATCGATTTGTAATGTCGTACAAGCTTTTGTAGATAGTAACAGCACACAGCAATTTCCATGTTCGGGGTTGAAGGTGTACGGATGTCGGGCAGGGGAAGATTGACGAAAGGACATCAGAATGCACCGACAGTTTTTGACTGGTCATGTGGACAAGACAGCCTGGCAACACCTGTCAGCTGACGACGGACGAGCGAACGTCAACGAGATTTGCGAAGCATATTGCGCATTACGAATTCTGCATCACGACAATCGCATTGTCTCCACAGTGCGAAAGCATGTCTTGAGTTTGGTAATCGATTTTCGCGAGTTCGCTGGGGGAGAATCGCGGGGGGAAATCGCTGGGAGGGAATCCTCAGGGCGGGGTGCATCATGCATTTTTTCAGGATCGCGATCCCAAGCGATCCTTGTTACAGTGTTTTGTCTTTTGCGTACAATACTTACTGTAGCGTTGCTGCACCACGACCCTGGGGGATCGCAAAAACTGCCACGCAACCACCCTCGATCACGCTGGATCTGAGAGCCTGCGATCCCACGCGATCAAGGGTTGAAGGTGCACCACGTGCACACCGATCCTTGTTCGCGAGAAGTATTTTGTCGCCTGACGACCAAACGAAACGAAAGCGAGGTAAGAACGAAAACATTACGAAATCAACCTTGAAACCACACTGTAGATGCGACGCCTCGACCGCGTCTGATTGGTGGTTGGGGATCGTGACTACAAAATTGCGGGTGGTGTATCATGGGAGGGCGCCGTTGGGTTGCATGGGACCTCGAGCACGCCCAACCCCGCCGGATTCCACAGGGTTGCGGTGCTAGCATCGCGATCAGGGGGCGATCATGCAAATTCAGCATGATGCACCCCGCCCTTATTGATGCCCCACGCTTCTTGGTCGACTGTGCAGTTTATATCCGTCAAAGAAGAATTTGATTGACGTGTCAATGCAACCACTTCAGCATTCTGCGGGACATTGCACCTCCTTTGCTTTCTGACTGCAGATATGCTTTTCAATGCTGTTTTGTTTTGTTTTGTTTGCACAAATGTCCGTTTCTTTGTTCAATCTGATGTATAACTCTGCAAAAACAATCATCAACGCATGGCTCGACCAGTGCTGTAAGGAGAAAAACACATTTCCCATCATTAACACATCCACCCATTTGATACCATTTCATTTTTCCTGAGCAACAAATCATGTTTATGCTGTCCCAACAGTTGAAAACTGAAACTTCCGGTAATACAGGTACTGCCAATGCTAGCAGCCACGGCAGCAATGGCAGCAGCGAAGGCTACCTATATCTCCTCTCCCTCCCCTCCTTCGTCTCTCCTCACCATGCTCAAAAGCATTCCCTGCCATCACCATCACCATCACCATCACCATCCCTTAAGTCCCCAATCCCCGGCACCACACTCAACTCCTCATTATCGCACCACACCACACCTCATTGCCACATTGCCACACACACCTCAAGACGCTTCAAAAGCATCACCATCACCGTCCCTCTCATCATCCTTCCCAGCATCCCCCTCCTCTGTGCCGAAGTACCGATCCCCGAACTCCCCCATCCCTGGAACCACTCTGTACTCCTCGTTAATCCCCGAGTCAATTTCTGATGTCACGATCTTGAGGTGGGGGAAGCGCCGACACACATTGTGAATGCCCTCTGGTGCCTGGAGGGAGGGAGGGGAGGTGGGAAGACGAAAGGAAGGGGAGGGGCGGCCGGAGAAAGAACGTGGAGATGTAAGCAACAGGGATCTCGAGGTGGGGGAGCTGACTTTTGAGTCGACTCAAAAGGGGAGGCGGGAGAAAGAACGTGGAGATGTAAGCAACAGGGATCTCGAGGTGGGGGAAGCGCCGACACACATTGTGAATGCCCTTTGGTGCTTGGAGGGAGGGAAATGGTGGGAAAAAGGAGAGAAAAAGGTAGAGGCGAGCGACGGAAGGGCAGAGAGGGAAGAAGACACACAGATGGTGAGGCGAGGGAGGCAAAGACATCAATCTGTACTGGAGGAGGGCAATCGTTCTGAATGCCCTCTAGTGCCTGGAGGAGGGGAGGGGGCGTGGGTGCAGAGAAGGTGGGTTGCAGCAATGAACACAAGGGGGATGGAGAGGGGCAGAGTGGGAGCAGGGAAGGGGGGAAGCAGGGTTTAGGATCTTGAGGTGGTGGAAACGGCGACATACATTGTGAATGCCCTCTGGTACCTGGGGGAGGGAAGGCGCGGAGGAGCATGGGGGGAAAGGTAAGGTGAAAGACGGAACATAGAGATGTGCTGTTGAGGTGGGGGAAGCGCCGACCCACATTGTGAATTCCCTGGTGCCTGGGGGAGGACGGGGGGGGTGGAGGGGGGAAGGAAGGGGTAGAGTTGGAGCGGCAAAGGCAGGGAAAGGGATGTTGAGGTGGGAGAAGTGACGACATAGCTTGTGACGACATAGGATTGTGATGACAGGACAATAGGGAGAGAGAAGATAACGAAGATGAAGGGGTAACGAACATCACAGCTGGTTACTCTCTTCACCACTAATTACCGCTCTGCATTCTGCCATACAAACTGATCGAGACAATAGAGTTACTCTCTCTCCACCACTTGTCACCATCTGCACCCCTCTTGATAACTCACCGAGATGAGGTTGAGAAAGATGATTCTCTCTTCAGGCACCCCTCGGTGCAGCAGCAGCTCAATAGCCTTGATGGCAGAGCGGCCTGGAGGGGAGAGAATAGGGGGGAGAGAAAGTGAGGCAGAGAATGTCGAAGGGTAACCACGATGGTTCAGACCCTCCCCAGGCACTGAGGCACATGGAGAGCAGAACAGCACCTACGTTTCGATAGAGAAAACATACGTCAAGCACGTGTAATCAAGCCCACCCAAACCAACCACCCCTCGGTGCAGAAGCAGCAGTGCAATGGCTTTGATGGCAGCACGATCAAGGAGCCCTGATTAAGGCACCCCAATGAAGGCCTCTGGGGGCCTTGATGACCTTGGCCTGTGATTCAACCAGGTCGCGCTGGTCCCTACGCCAGTGATCACCTGAGGCGGTCCCTACGCCTGTGATCGCCAGTAAAGTAAGGACTCACCTGAGGCGAGCACAGGGTCCATCAGCATCACATCACATGCATCTGGGCGATGTCTCATGGGAGTGATGCGCAAGCACTCACGTTCAAGTGCAAGAGGAAGAGGAGGAAGAGGGAGGAACAGGGAGGAAGGAGGAAAAGCCTCACCTGAAGCGAGACAAGAGTCCAGCAGCATCACATGCCTCTATCTGATGCCCCATAGGAGAGAGAGCGAGCACTCAAGATCAAATGCAAGGCAAGCATGGAGGGGGGAAAGCACCGGGAAACTCTCGCTGGCAGCACTTTGCCCTGTGCACCATTCGCGCATTTCCCGTCAGGCAAACCCCCGCACACCTCGCCGGAACAGCGCATTACCCCTCGCCGTCACAGCGCCACTCCCCTCTTCGTCGCAGTGCCGATCCGATCTCCCTATCCACGCAGTGCCTCTATTCTCATCGTTGCAGCGCCTCTGCCCTCGCCATCGCCGCGACCACGCTCGCACATTACCGCGGCCGCGCACTCAGATCACGCCATCCCGGGGCTCACGCGGCGATTCCACGTCGCTGCAACGACGAGAATAGAGGCGCTGCGCCAATAGGGAGATCGGCGCTGCGACGAAGAGGGGAGATGTGTTGTGACGGCGAGGGGTAATGCGCTGTTTCGGCGAGGTGTGCGGGGGTTTGCCCGACCGGAAATGCGAGAATGGTGCGCGGAGCAGGGTGTTGCTAGCGAGAGTTTCCCGCTGCTTACTTAATAGGCGGAAAAAGTCTCACCTGAGGCGAGCATAGAGTCCAGCAGCATCACATGCCTCTGTGCTATGTCTCGGGGAAGAGGAGAGAGGGAACGCTCATGCTCATGTTAAAGGAGAGGGAGGAGGAGTGTAAGCCTCACCTGAGGCGAGCACAGGGTCCAGCAGCATCACATGCCTCTGGGCAATGTCCACGGGTAGAGAGACGTGAAGCACTCACAATCAAGTGAAGAGGGAGGTAGGGTGGTCAAGCCTCACCTGACGCCAGCACAGGATCTAGCAGCATCACATGCCTCTGCGCTATGTCCCGGGGGAGGGGAGTGGGCAAATGCTCATGACTTGCAAGGAGAGGAAAGAGCAAACACTCCTTGAAAGGAGAGAGGGGGGGGGAGTGTAAGACTCACCTGACGCCAGCACAGGGTCCAGCAGCATCACATGCCTCTGGGCAATGTCTCGGGGGAGCTTCTCGTATATGAGCTGGTGGGGGATGGTAGAAGGGGGAAGGGAAATGAAGAGCACAGGGAGCGAGGGAGGAAAGATGAGTGGGCGGAGAAGAAAGAATGCCTCTGTGAGATATCTCGGGGGAAATTCTCGTATATGAGGTGGTGGGGATGGGAGGGGCGGGGAGAGAGAGGGGTGGGCGGGGAACATGGGGAGGGAGAAAAGAGAAGAGAGGATTGGAGGAGATGTTGAGAGGTTGAGGCTTCAGTCGCCTTTTGAGGCGCCTCAAACAAAGCACACACATGCAATAACATGGTAAAGATAACCCCTTCAAGCACAAACGTGCAATCATGTGCGGAGAGCGCAGTGTGAAAAGGCCTCACCTGCTTGCCAAAGCCACCCTCCCTGTGGATGGGTGTTCGGCCCATCTTCACTCCCTTTCAAATTGCCGCCGACGTAAAGATTCACCAACGCATGCATGTGCATACGAACGAGCACAGGAAAAAAAAGAGGAGAGAGAGGGAGGGAGAAAGAGGGGTGGTTTCCTCCTCACCTGTTCGCTGTGGTCACCCTCCCCAGCAGCATGCAAGAACAAACAAAGTATGATGCACACATGCATGCACACACAAACACACACACACACAAAACAGGGTCTGAGTCTGAGCCTCACCTGCTTGCCATAGTCCCCCTCTCTGTGAATGAGTATCTTCCCAATCTTCACTCCCTTGCAGCACGCCCTTAGTGCATTCTCCATGCTCTCGCCACTGCCATGGGGACCAAGCGCCACATGCACGTGGGTTCAGATGAAGCAGAAAGCAGAAAGGTGCATGGGACAGAGAAATCCAATCCCTTGCAGCACGCCCTTGGGGCATTCTCCATGCTCTCGCCACTGCCATGCAAGAGAGAGGCACATGTGTGCGATGTGAGAGGCACAAGAGAGAGGCACATGAACATGTGTGCCGTTTGACAAAAAAAGAAGGATGCATTTGGATGGGCGTTCACTCCCTTGCAGTACGATCGTAATGCACTCTCCACACTCTCGCCACTGCCAGGAGGCAACGAGGCATACAAGGTGGGGCGCAAGCACATGGGCTCATTCATTGAATGGGACAGGGGAACGTCACTCCTTAGAAGTATGCCTAGCATCCCCCCCTCCACACACTCACCCTGTCTGTAGGCCATACCTTGGAATAGTAAACACTCCACAGAGACGAGAAAACATAAACACACAGACAGAGCTACATACTCAAGCATAATTAGAAATGCAACTAGGCATACAAACCATGCCTAGTACCCCACCGTCCCTTTAGGCCATACCTACCTTCGAATTATGGACACTCCACAGAGAAAACATGAGCGCACAGACGCAGTTACATACTTCAGCTTAACGAAAAATGCCTAGTACCCCACACTCCCCGTACGCGTAGGCCATACCGACCTGCGAATTATGGACACTCCACACAGCTTCTTGCTGAAGTTGATTCCCACATACGTGGAACCTGCATTGAGGGGGGGCAGGTGGAGTCGGGAGGGGCTGAGAGGGTCAAGTCAAGGGAGGAACCGAAGGGGGTGTAGAGTGATGAAATGATGGACACTGCACAGGGCTTCCTGCTAAAGTTGATGATGCCCGCAGCCCGCATATGTGGAGCCTAGAGAGGAAAGAGTGGGGGAGAGAGAAGGGGAGGGGAGAGCAGTGTTTGCTTTGCGCGGCTCCAAACAGCTTTTGAGGCGCCTCAAAAGTCGTCTCTCTACCCGCAATTTTTTTTTTTTTACGCGCCTCAAAAGGGGAGGGGAGAGCAGTGTTTGCACGGCGCACGGCTCTAAACAGCTTCTTGCTGAAATTGATGCACGTATGTGGAGCTTGAAGGTGGTCGAAGGGGACGGATGGGTCGAACGGGGGCGGCAAGACTTAACCAGACCTAGGACAACAATGATACAAGACCAGCTCCTAAACAACATAGTTGCTGCCACGTTAAGTCATGACACCTAACTGGGGCCCACTCGGACATACAAGACCAGCTCCTATAGTTTTTTACTTTGAAATTCACAGCTTCATGCTGATGTTGATTTCCACATGTGTGGAGCCTGAAGGTGGTTGGAAGGGAACTGATGAGTCGAGCGCAGCTCCTAATCGTTCCATCTGTCCCCTTCCGACCACCTTGTACAAGAGGCGGATGGGACGCCTATGATAGAAGAGCAGCTCCTGTGGTTTCTGATTCCGAGTTGCCATGCCACCATCCCTGCAGTTTGACTTTTGAGTCGACTCAAAAGTCACCGAGATGCCACCATCCCTGCAGTTTGACTTTTGAGTCGACTCAAAAGTCACCTAGATGCCACCACCATCCCTGCAATTTGGGAACCACTTTTGGGAATTCTCAAAAGTGATTCTGATTCCGAGATGCCAGGCCACCATCCCTACAGTTTCACTGCCCAGGAATGTCTGAAAACTGCAGGGATGGCAGGAATGCCAGGGATGCCAGGGATGGTGGCTTGAATTGCAGTGGAACGAAGGCGGTTAAGTACTGGGGTGGGTTGAATTGAAAATAGCAGGTGAATAGTTGCAGCTGCGATGATCCTATGCCACTTACCAGTGGGGGTGGTGACTTGAATCTCGGTGAAAGGGAGGTGGCCCAACCCATGCTCCACAAGCTGATGAGAATAATGAGGGAGGGGGGGTTGTAAGAATGGAAACAGAGAAAGGAGTCACTAAAGGCGTGAGAAAAGCGGGTAGCTCAATCAGTCCATGCTTGCAATCAGTCCATGCTTGCAATCAGTCCATGCTTGCAATCAGTCCATGCTTGCAATCAGTCCATGCTTGCAATCAGTCCATGCTTGCAATCAGTCCATGCTTGCAATCAGTCCATGCTTGCAATCAGTCCATGCTTGCAATCAGTCCATGCTTGCAATCTCCAAGGGAGAGGGAATCGTGAAAAGGGAAAACGGAATGGTCAACAAAAAGAAGTGCCAAAAAACAGACGGAACAGAGAGGTAGCCCATGATCCACCAGCTGAGGATGATGGTAAGAAGGAAATACAGGAGAGGCGGATTGGTGGAAGAGAAATTTAGCGGCACGCTTGAGCACTACATTTGAGAATACTAGATTCGTGTCGTCTTTGAGATAACTCAAAAGTGCAGCGCCTTGCATGACTGCAGCGCCGTGTGCGCCTTTCATGCAGAACAAAAGGACCAGCGAACGGCAGGTGTGCACCGAAATAGGGGGATAGATGAGCGGGGAGGAGCGATGGATGAGAGCCACGGAATGGGTAAGTGGGCTCATCAGCTTGATTGGTTTGGAACAGAGAATTCGACGTACGAGGTGAATGAGGTGGTCGACTTTTGAGTCACTCCCAACCAAGAGACGGTCGACTTTTGAGTCACTCCCAACCAAGAGACGGTCGACTTTTGAGTCAATCCCAACCAAGAGATGGTCGACTTTTGAGTCACTCCCAACCAAGAGGCGGTCGAATTTTGAGTCACTCCCAACCAAGAGACGGTCGACTTTTGAGTCAACTCAGAAGTCAATTCGACGTACGAGGCGAATGAGACGGTCGGCATGCCCATCAAAAGACAAAGCTGTGCTTTTTGTGGCATGGGTGAGAGCTTGTGATGGGTGAGTGCAACAGTGGCATGAGAGTGAGAGCGCAGCGCCTTGATAGGACAGAGAGGGGGTTATGATAAGAGTTCGACTTACGAGGCGAATGAGGCGGTCGGCATAGAAGACAAAGTTGTGTTTTTTGGTGTCCCTGTTGCGAATGAGCGTGTGCATGCCTCGCACCTGGTGGGAAGAGACAGAGAAGAGTTGAGAGAGGGGAAGGAGATGCAAGTGGAGTGTGAATGAGCCACACAGTCAGTGTGAAAGTAGAGGGTAGACACGTTGCAATTCAGTCAGTTGCCATGCTTTTTTGTTTTTTTTTTGTAGGGATGAGTCAGTTGCAATTCAAGGTGTGTGCACGCACACACATACACATACGTGCACACAGCTGCCCCACATCACACCACACAACGCCACACTGAACCACACCACACCACGCACCTGGAACGTTGACTCCATAACGTGTACGTTGCTGTAGATCTTCCTCAGATCGTGTTGCCCCAGCTTCGACCCTATGTGCTGCACTATCAAGTTCACTGCCACGTGGTTGTTACCGCCCCACACCACAGCACAGCACACTTCACCGCACCACATACTGCCCCGTAACGCTCCATACCACACCACACTGCACGACACCACTCTTCACACCTGGAAGGTTTACTCTATGCCGTGTACGTTGCTGTAGATCTTCCTCAGGTCATGCTGCCCCAGCTTTGAGCCTCTGTGCTGCACGATCAGGTTCACTGCCACGTGGTTGTCACCGCCCCACCCCTCCACCATACCACAGCACAGCACACTGCACCACATCACACCACACCACAAAACAAAACACCTCGCACCTGGAAGGTTGACTCTATAACGTGTACGTTGCTGTAGATCTTCCTCAAATCGTGTTGCCCCAGCTTAGAACCTATGTGCTGCACTATCAGGTTCACTGCCACGTGGTTGTCACCGCCCCGGGGAATGATGATGTCAGCAAATTTCTTGGAGGGAAGGACGAAATCATCAAAGGCTGGCTTGACGAAACGAGCGTACTGGATTGGATTAAGGGAAAGGGGATGGAGGAAGGGAAGGGAAGAAAAGGGGAAGGGAAGAAAGGAGCGGGATGAGATGGCAGGGAAATGATGATCTGTGTGCTGAATCTAAACTGCGTGGTTGTCACCGCCCCTGAGTGATTGATAATGTCGGGGATTCTTGGTTAAGGAAGCATGAGAATCATCCAAGGCTGGCTTGACAAAGCGAGCGTACTGGGTGAGAGGCGGAGGGATGTATAGGGTAAATGGAAGGGGGAGGGATGGAAGCGTAGGGATGGGAAGGAAAGGGAAGGAGAGGGAAGGAATAGGAAAGAAACGGAAGGAAAACGAAAGGAATGGGAAAAAGGTGAAAGGGCAGGGAAGAAAAAAGGAAGGCAGGACAGGATGGAGGGAAAACGGAGTGCAAGGGTATACAAAGCCTAGGTTCACAAAGCAAGCATACTGGAATGCAGGGAATGGAAGCAGAAATCACATCTGGTCAATATCTCTCGATATAATCACACACACCCGGTCGATGGCCCCTCGCACGTCGATCCGCAGGGACACGCTGGAGCGACGAGGATCTTCTTGAGAACATGAGCAATCGGCTGCCGTGTCTGCGAGAGTTCAGCATCAGCGACAGCGGACGTTTCACAGAACAACTCGAGCTGGTCACCTTCTTGACCTGCCTGCGCGGCTTGAAACTCTCCAGCTGCACATTCGACGGACTGCCTGACAGCCTTGTGGACATGCCTGACTGAAAACGCTCCTGCTAGACGAGCTCAATCCCGATGCGAGATTTCCTGACTCATGCAGTTGCCTCAAGTCCCTAGAAACGCTGGTCATTACACAATGCATGCCTCTAGTCGAGTTACCACATCCGCTGGGCGCTTTCACTGCACTCAAGACCCTCTGCCTTGACGGTTCTCCCTTGTCCACTCTCCTAAACTTGGAGAGTCCTTATCCATTCATCTTCATACCATGAAAACCCCCCAAGAAAAGTGAGCAAGGGAGAACTGCCGAGACAGAGGATCTTGAGTGAAGTGAGAGCGCTCAGTGGGTGCGGTAGCTCAGCTAGAGACGCGCAATGTGTAATGACCAGCGTCTCTAGGGACTTGAGGCCGCTGCATGGATCAGCGAATTCCGCATCGAGTTCGAGCTCGTCAAGCAGGAGCGCTTTCGGTCGTTCATATCCCCAAGGCTGTCAAGCACTCCTGAATGTGCAACTGGAGAGCTTAAAGCCGCGCAGGCAAGTCAATGAGGTGACCTGCTTGGGTTGTTCGTGGAAACGTCTGCAGTCGCTAATGTTGAGCTCCCGCAGACACGCCAACCAACCGTTCATGTTCTCAGGGAGATCCTCCAAGTCCTCGCTCCAGCGTGTCGCTGCGGATCCTCCTGGCCTATCTCATGTCAGCATCTGTCTGTGTCTCCAAATATGGTCCCCTTCCTCCTATTGGTCCAGGTCAATCAATGAACCACCCCTTGGTTGGTGGATAATCTAGACCCTTCTATTACGAAAAGACCTGCTGAACCACCCCCTGCTATAGCCACACATGACAAATCAAACCTCATTATGATCACACCTGAACTCGTTATAATCACACCACACCTAATCTCATATACTCACACTTGATCTCATGTAGTCACACCCCATCTCATATAATCACACCTGCCCCTTGCATGTCGCGTCCTCACTCCAGCGTGTCCCTACGAATCCTCTTGGCCAATCGCATGTCGGGTGACCTGGAATATTGCCACACACACGCAATCTACTCCCTCCCTCTAGGTCGATCACCTCTTGTTGTAATGGCATCTGATCTTTTAGTACACTTGATCAATTACCATTCATTATAGTCATACCCCCCCATTGTAATCACCTGGTCGATCACCCCTTGCACGTCTCGGCCTCGTTCTAGTGTATCCCTGCGAATCCTCCTGGCCAATCGAACGTCGGCATCTGTGTCCACGAAGATCTTCATGTTCATCAGCGCTCGCACCCTCGCATCGTGGAACACCAGAATGCCCTCCAGAATGATGACGTCAGCAGGGTTGGTCTGATGTTTGTTGAATAGTCGGAAGGGGGCGAGAGAGGGATGGAAGGGAGGAGGGGATGGAGAGAGAGGGAGGAGGCAGAGGAGCCTTTTATACGTGTGCAAGTGGGTGTAAGGGCATCTCTGTGTATATGCGAGCGCATCTCGGCATAGCATCTGTATCCACTCAAATCTTCATGTTCATATGCCCCAACAACCCGCATCGTGGAGCACCAGAATGTTCTCCAGAATTACCACATCAGCAGGGTTGGCCTGATAGGAAGAGAGAGAATGGAGGGCAAGGGGAAAGAGGGGGGAGAGAAGGGGGGGGGGGGGGGCTGAGAGGGTGTATCCGCCAGCTGTGCTCCGTAGGTGTGTCTTGAATCTATACAACGGGATTTCCATCGATCGACCGACCCACTTTGTTGAGAGCAGTGACAGTATGAGTATGTTCTACGTCTGAAAGCATTCACCTCTCTCACATCCACCTTCCTCATGGCCGTGGATCACTGGTGTCTTGAAGTCATACACCGGGATCTCCACCGATCAGCCCTTCTTGAGACGAAACAGCGAAGATTATGCCCACACAAGCACGGTCGTTTAGTCACCTTATTCCCCCTTCCACACGCACCTTCCGCATGGCCATGCTCTGTTGGTGCGTCTTGAAGTCGTACACTGGGATCTCCACCGATCAACCCTCCTTGGGAATGGTGGTGCATGTGTGTAAGAATACTGTCATATACTACACACCCACCACCCTCCACCCACCTTCCGCACAGCCGTGCTCCGTTGGTGTGTCTTGAAGTCGTACACTGGGATCTCCACCGACCGCCCTTCCTTGAGAGCAATTATCGTTGAGAGCAGCGCGTCAGTATCAAAGGCGTCTGGGAAGAGCGAGAGGACAGGGGAGAGCAGGGGGGGAAGGTGAGCGTAAAGGTAGGGAAGAGTATACCAGCAAAGATCTCCACCGATTATCCTTCTGGGAAAGCAGGGGGAGCAGGGGGAGGGGATTTTTGAGAATTCAAAAAAATCTCTCACGAGAATTCTAAAAGATCGCTCAAAAGGGAAGAGTATAGCAGCGAAGACCTCCATCAATCATCCTTCTGGGAAAGCAGGGGGAACCGGGGGAGAGGAGGAGAGGAGACAGAGAGGAGAGGCGAAGGGTGGAGACAAGAGTGGGGGGGGCGGGAACACAGGTGGGGCAGCTGCATGATGATGGGGAGCAACGAGGTTGGAAACAAAAACGATGGCTACCGGCCGTAGCTGTTGGTGGCTATGCCGTTCAAAGTTGAACAAATGACCACTGAATGATTGGCGACCAAAACGAAGGACTTGATCAAAACGAATGACCTAGCCAGAATGAATGACTGGCTCGCATACTGAAACAAATGGCTTTACCAAAACGAATGACCGGTTACCAGCTTACCAGGATGGTCGAAGTTAAAGTCACTGGCATGTTTCAACTCCTCCTCTGTCAACCCTCGGTAGAAAGAGTCCTGTCAACAAGTCAGCAAGTAAACACACAGAGAGTTTAGGTCAGGAAACATGCATATCACACACATGTGCATGACACTGGCTTATAAGGCGCCTTATAAGGCCCCTAACTGGCATGCTTCAGCTCCTCTTCTGTCAACCCCCGGTAGAAGGAGTCCTGCCAGCCAGCAAGCACGGAAGCACAGAGTTTGGGGAACATGCATGTTGCCACATGCACGGCTTCTGGCATGCCTCAAACCAAACATCCTCACTGGCATGCTTCAGCTCCTCCTCTGTCAACCCGCGGTAGAAGGAGTCCTGCCAGCGAGCAAGCACGGAAGCACAGAGTTTGGGGAACACGCATGTTGCCACATGCACGGCTTCTGGCATGCCTCAAACCAAACATCCTCACTGGCATGCTTCAGCTCCGCCTCTGTCAACCCGCGGTAGAAGGAGTCCTGCCAGCCAGCAAGCACGGAAGCACAGAGTTTGGGGAACATGCATGTTGCCACATGCACGGCTTCTGGCATGCCTCAAACCAAACATCCTCACTGGCATGCTTCAGCTCCGCCTCTGTCAACCCGCGGTAGAAGGAGTCCTGCCAGCCAGCAAGCACGGAGGGAGGCAAGTGAGAACACGCAGAGTTTTCAGCTTAGCGCACATGCATATGCCCATAAACACTCCTCTGTCAGCTCTCAGTACAAGGAGTCATGTCTGTCAGTAAGCAAGCACCGAAGCACACACACAAGCGGGAAGTTTGGGGAGCACGCATGTCGCCTCATGGGCTGTACATGTACAGTACCGCTTCTGAGGCGCCTCAAACGTCCTCACTGGCATGCTTAGGTTCAGCTCCTCCTCTGTCAACCCCCAGTGCGCAGGCAAACAAACAAGCATACAGGTACAGAGTTTTGGTGAACACGCATGTCGCATGTGTCGTCACTGAATCCTACGGCGCCTCAAACCTCCTCACTGGCATGCTTAGGTTTAGCTCCTCCTCTGTCATGTCAACCCTCGGTAGGAAGAGTTCTGTCAGTGCGCACGATGGTTGGGGTTCAGGGTTTGAATGATATTGCCAACTGTATGGCATGGCTTCCAGCACATGCATGCCATAGCTTTTGAGACGTCTCAAAAGTCGTTCAGGGTTCGAATGCTATTGTCAAATGTATGGCATGGCTTCCAGCACATGCATGCCATGGCGTGGCATGGAATGGGGTGCACTGCACTGCACTGCACTGCACTGCACTGCACTGCACTGCACTGCACAGCACTGCACTGCACTGCACTGCACTGCACTGCACTGCACTCCTCCATCTCACACCCCACCATACATCACATGCTGCACTGCTTAGTTTGCACCGCACTGCACCACCTCCCATCTGATGCACCAGCACCACCCAGTGGTCGTGCTGCAGCTGCTGAATAATCAAATGCTGCTGAGTCGACGTAGTTACCTCACCTGGTGCACCACATTGCACCGCACTGCACAGCATCTCACCTGGTGCACTAACACCACTCTATGGTCGTGCAGCTGCTGAATGATCTGCTCACACACTGTTGTCTTGCCCGAAGCCGTCCCTCCTGACACGCCTGGAGTAAAAGGAAAGGAGAGGCGGAAAGAGGGTGGGGAGGAGGAGAGGGGGGCAGGGGAGCCAGGTGTGGTTGGGTGGGTCTGTACGGACAAAATGGGTTCACCCACCAATGAGGAGCGGTCGAGAGAGAAGGACGCTGAGCTATGTAGGGAAAGAAGGGGAGAGATCATGGGGAAGTGAACTCACCAATTAGGAACGGCTCCTTGCCGTGAGCTCCAATCAGAGAGGTCAGTGACGAACGGTCGAGAGAGAAGGACGTTGAGTTAAGGAGAGGGGAGAAGTGGGAGAGGGAAGGGGGGATAAGGAAGAAGTCAACCCACCAATGAGGAACGGCTCCTTGCCGTGAGCTCCAATCAGAGAGGTCAGTGACGAGCGGTCGAGAGAAAACGAGGTTGAGTTAAGCAAGGAGGAGGAGGCGGAAGAAGAAGAGATGGCGGAAGGGCGGATGGCGGGCGAGCTGGAGAGAGAGGGGGCGGGGGAGGAGGCGGAGGAGGAGGCGGAGGGGCGGGCGGAGTTTTGGGCGGAGGGAGGGAGTGGAGGAGCAGTGGCAGCAGGAAGGGAGTGGCTGTCGATGGAGGGGTGGAGACCTGATATGTGCACTTGAGAGCTGGTCTGGAAGGAGAGAGGGAGGGGAGGACACACATGCGAAAGGGGTGGCTGTGAGTGGAGGGACAGAGGCGTGAGATGTGCACTTGAGAACTGGTCTCTAGGGGGAAAGGAGAGAAAAAGAGCACTTGGGGAACTTGAGACACGCACTTGGGAGATGGTCATGGTCTGGAGGGAGAGGGGACAGCAAAGAGCAGTGGCTTGATTCCGACCAAAAAAAACAGAGGGTGCAGTGCAATTCGGGTGAGAAGGAAGATGAGGCAGCAGGTCGTGTCTGTCAGTGGAGAACTGGAGTGGAGGCCTGGGAGGCATGCGTGATGTGCACCTGGGAGCTGATATTGAGGGGTAGAGGGAAGGGGAGGACACACATACGAGGGAGACTGCTGAGGTGATTTGAAAAGGGGTGGAAGCTTTGAGATGGAGGGGTGGAGGCCTGAGATGTGCACCTGGGAGCTGATATTGAGGGGTAGAGGGGAGGGGAGGACACACATGCACACGCAATTCATCTCTCAGGCACACGAAGCAGCCAAGAATGTACAGTACACGGACGTGCAGCTGCATACTAAACCGTGAGCTGAACTGCATGCACATTGGCACAGAACCAGCGTGTAGACCAGCGCGCAATATTGAAATCACTTTTGAGAATTCTCAAAAGTGATTTCAATAGAACCAGCAGCGCGCCGAGCCAGCGTAAGAGCCAGCGCTACAGAACCAGCAGCGCGCCGAGCCAGCGTGCAGAAGAGCACAGTAAACCAACAACGCGCTGAGCCAATTACCTCGAGGGTTTTCTCGAGATCCTCCAGAGCGTTAGCCATGCTGCACCGGACTGTACCGGACTGCACTGGACTGCTTCCCCGCAAACGAAGTTCTGGCTAGCTCCCTCCTGGGTTCGACTCAAGTTGTCACCTTAAGAGATTTTTGCTAAGTCTGCTGCCTGATGCTGTTGTTTGCTGGTTCCTTGGCCTAAATGATGCTAAAGCGTCTAATCCTGCTCACACACTCTGTCCCACATCAGCCATGAGAGAAATCACTCTGCAGAAAAAATGCCAATTCTCCTCGTCAGACATCCATCGTCCTATACTTAATCGCGGGTACGTCGTGAGATACTAATCAGGCACGACAATACTAGGTATGTCGGATTATCTATGAAGCACGAGTATTCGCCAACAGCTGGATGAAACTAAAGGCAGATCACGCAGTCGGTCAGTTTACAATCAAAAGGGACGACTGGTAAGTAGCCTCGCGAGCTGACGACTGGTAGTCGGGCCGAATTAAGGACGAGTACTAAGACGCGCTTCGGATAAGCTAACTGTTAACCAATGCAGAGGGTAGCTGCGACGTAGAGCGACAAATTGCCGCAAGTGACTTCCAAATGACAAGTAACGCAGAAGCCTGGGACAGACCGCGATTAACTCGACCTAATGGTTAGAGCATCGCCGCCTAAACGGCTATTTGAATGGCACGGCAGGCAGTTCTGACAGTCAGTCGGGACTAGTGAATTCAGGGTGTACTGTAGTTCTCCATTGCGGTTTGATGAGATGTTTTGCGTGGTTGAGCGCGGTTGTTCATCAGGAAACCAGAACGGTTGGGTAGGGTGCTTCGAGTTTTTTAATGATCTCCTAGGCGGAGTGTGTGCTTCAACGAGGGCGAAATTCGCACAATTTCGCCGTCAGCCCTAGAAGCGAAGTTCCAGGAGCCCAAGCCTTGTCAACTGAAATGTCTGTCCAGCGCGAAACCCAGTCAGATTTGGCCCAGCCCGGGGCTCTCTGAAGAACCTAAGAAGCGCTGGTGTGTGCTGATTCGCTAGGTTTAGGCATGGTAAAACTCGACAGGTCAGCCATTTACCCCAGCTTCGACACGGCCTAGGGATCCTACCTACTTGAGATTGGCAGCTCCTCCTGCAACGCAAGGACGGCGCATAACTTTGTCACTCGCCTTACCTCCAGCCCGCAGGTCAGTACGGGTCGTGTCGTGTTCTGAGAGGAAATTAGGAGCTTGAGATACTGAGATCTGGAAATGAGCGACTTTCCTAACTCCTTGGTCATTTAGCTCTGAGTATTGAGATCTCGTATCATACCTTTCCTAATAGTTCTTGCGGTCAATCCTTGGGAGTTTAGATGGAGCGTCTCTCACACATTGATCGACTCTCAGATGACCTTCTTACGAGGATTTTATGGTTTCAGGATGCGTTGCCTTTCCAGAAAGGTTCTGATTCCAAAGAGTGCGTCTCGCTTCCTGAGTGGCATTTTAGGGCGAACAAGCTTTCAACCTTCAGAGATGCAGCATACAATTTGCTCATCGCGTCCGTATGCAATCGCTGGCGTCATCTTGTTAAGCGTCAAATCAGCAGCATGGTAGCTCAGGAGGACCTTATTGTATCTCGTCAAGATCTGGCGAACGCCGTGGCTTGTTTCGACAACCTCACGAGTCTTTACCTGAGCGACGAAAGTGTCGAGATGATTGACAACGCTTTCCTCGCTCGACTTGCCTCCTCACGACCTAAGCTGAAAGCTCTTCACGTGGGTCGCAAGATTACCCCGACGGAGTGTGGAGGAAACAAGGATGATCACCCAGTTAGTGAAGCGGGTCTGGAGATTTTATTCCTGAAGTGCACTCAACTGGAGGAAATTACACTTCACTGCCTCCACAAAGATACTGAGTTACCGGAATCCTTTTTTCAGCTGCAGCATCTCCGTACAGTTTCTCTAACCAACGTCTCAGCCTTGACATTCTCCAGATTTTCAAAACTTTCTTCTCTCACATCACTCGATATTACTGTTTCCAGATTGACATTTCAGCAACTGTCAGGCCTCGCTCGCATCCCAAGACTTTCCATACTTTCGATTTCCAGTGAAATTTGTCTATCCAAGAATGATCCATCATCTGCAACTTTCCCAGCAGCGCAGCTGCCTTATCTGAAGACGCTCGAGTTCCAGGTCTCTAGTCCGAATTTCACTTCATTGTTCCCTGGAGGATCACCTTGCAGTCACCTAGAACAGCTGGTGATTACCAAATCCACCAACCTACAGCGACTTCCCGATGACATTGGAGAGTTGTTGCCGTCCCTGCGTGAGCTGACCATTCGGAACTGTTCTCAGCTTGACCAACTCCCCAATAGTATTACAGCCCTAACTAGATTGGAGTGCTTGTCCATTACTGGGTCCAGCCTGCTTCAAAACCTACCCAAGGATTTTGGACAGCTGCCTGCGCTGAAGTCGCTGATGCTGGAGAGTGTGTCTCTTTCGGGGGTACCTGACTCCTTCTGCCAAGTTACCACTTTGGAAGAGCTGTCCCTAGTTAACTGCTATAAGATTAACCAGCTGCCAGCAGATTTCTGCAGCCTCACATCTCTCAAGACACTGAACCTCAAGAATTTGGAGCTGTGGGTGCTTCCAGAGAGAATTGGATGGCTCGGTAACCTCGAGACCCTTCACCTGCATGATTGCACGCAGCAGCGGCTCTTCCCTTCGTTTGCACAGCTGACTTCTCTAAGGAGTCTTGAGCTTGGCGAGTGCGCATTTACAGTGCTTCCTGACGGTCTGGACAATTTGAGTAACCTGAAACATCTCAACATTCATGACTGTGATGTCAGGGAGATACCAGATTCCATTACAGGGCTCACTAGCCTTGTGACCTTCATCATTGAGGGTTGTCAACAGCTCTCTTTGCTGCCAAGAAGCCTAAGCAGCCTCATGGAGCTGAAGTTTTTAAAGATAACATGGTGCGGACAACTGTGTGGATTTCCTTTGTCGCTGCCGCTCTCCCTTGAGATTCTGGTCTGGTACTCAAACAACCGGGCTGATTCGCTGTCTCAGATTTCCCTGCCGCCTTGTCTGCAGCAGTTGGAGCTGGGGTTGGAAGACAATGAGTTTCCACTCCCCTTGGAATCACTTTCTCAGCTCCACATCCTGTGTCTCTGCAGTGCTAAAATGATTCAGCTCCCACGAAGCATGGGTTTGGCTTTTCAGCAGATACGGGAGTTGCAATTGTACAAATTTGAAGAGCTTAGGGAGCTGCCGGACACATTGTCACAGCTCCAACATCTGATATTGTTAGAGGTCGTTGAAGCACCCAAGCTGACGTCAATCCCTGATGGCATCGGAGCATTATCCAGGTTGATTGAGCTGGATCTGTCAGGATGTAAGGCCCTGCAACAGCTACCATCAACACTCACCCAGCTTAGCTGCCTCTCTATTCTTACACTTGAATATACTTCCATCAGCTCCCTTCCTCCCAGGTTTGCACAGCTGACCAGGCTCAGAACGCTCAAACTCTCTTGCTGTAATCAATTGAGGGCCTTGCCAGATGATTTGACCGAGCTGAAGATGCTGCAGCATTTGGATGTTAAAGGATGCAAGCAAGCGCTCGATGGCATCTCCCGTGCACTGCGCTATGGACTCCGGGACATGCATGGGCTGAAATTCATGAAGTACTAGCTTGATAGGACCATAGTGTGTCTGGTGATCTGAGTCAATTTGGTCAAGTGCCATGTTTCTTTTTTGTTAGCCATTGTCTGATACGCTCTTCAGAGCGTATGTGGAGTGTGTACGTGTGCATAATTTGTGTGATGGATGTTGAAAGTCTTGGTTGATTTGAGTAAGTGGTACATTTCAGAGAGCTTCAAGTCCAAGCTGGCTTATTTGGAAAAGGAGCTACGGTATTACTAGTCCCTCAGGCGTGCTCTAGTAAAAAAACAGCAAAAAAAAAAAAAAAAAGGTAGAATGTGCACCACATTTGACTAGGCCAATTGTCATTGTAGCTCCAGCTTGAATGTTTGCACACTAGTCATCACAAATAAACGTCCAGCTCTCAGTCGGCGTCTGCCTTTTCCATGCCAAAATTCTCTTCACTGAACCCTCCCAATGAATCTGCCTTTCTGAACTCAAATTACCGCACCCCTCTGTACCTCTCGTAACCACTCTCAACCACTCTGGTGCCGCTCTCAACCCCTTCGTTTCAGTCACTCTCTTCAACAGCACCAATGCTGACGACGACCTATTAAACCCCTCTCGCGTGGGCCTTCTGCCTTCTGTTCATACCCCACCAAACCCCGAGATAATACACCAAATTCCTAAAACCTGACTCTTTCCCCTTCCTCCTCCCTCCCCCAGGTTCTTGTTCCTTCCGTTTCAGTCACTCTCTTCAACGGCACCCATACAAATGACTTCTCCTGGTGTGCAGGTGAGTGGGGTGAGTGGGATGAGTGGGATGAGTGGGGCGAGTGGGGTGAGTGGGATGAGTGGGGTGAGTGGGATGAGTGGGGTGAGTGGGATTAGGGATGAGCAAGGGGCGAACACGAACATGTTCGTGTTCGCCCCTACACGAACACATCCGTTTGCCGAACCGAACAGTGTTCGGTTCGGCGAACACTTTCAGCAAAAACAGGTGTTCGCCGTTCGCCTGTGAAGGCGTGTTCGGGCGAACCTCGAACATGTTCGTGTTAGTCGCGGGGCAAATTGCAGCAGCGGCCCGAACACGAACGTGTTCGGGCGAACCTCGAACACTGTTCGGCGAACACGTTAAGCAAAAAAAACAAACCTGTTCGGTTCGCCTCGAACATGTTCGAGGCGAAATGAACAGGTGTTCGTATCTGTGCTCATCCCTAAGTGGGATGAGTGGGGTGAGTGGGATGAGTGGGGTGAGCGGGGTGAGTGGGGTGAGTGGGGTGAGTGTCTGAAAGCCTTTGAGGTACCCTGAAGTCTCTCTACCTTCAGATTCTGGGTGCACTGGTTCAGTAGGGGATCCACACGCTGCCCAGTTTGAGGCCTCTTTTTCCGTTGCTTATCCGCAGTTTTTTACCCTCAAGGCACCTTGAGGCACCTTGCTGTGCACTGTTTCGATACGCGATCCACACTTTGCCCTGCCTTTACAGCAGACTGCCCTTCAGAGGGACATTGCTTTCTCTCCCTTCGCTCTCCATTTCTCTTCCCCACTCTTTCCTTCCTCCAGTGCTCAGAGCAGCCGGCCTTCCCAAATGTGATCCGGCTGCAATTCCCTAATTTCCTTGCACCCCTTCAACCCCCCCAACTCCGCCCCATCCTCTCCCACTTTCTCCCACTGTTCCACTTTCACCTCCCCGTCTGCTCTTTCCTCCTGAATTTAGTGGGAATGTCAGTCAGGCTTACTTGGGGCTCCTACTTGGGGCTCCATTGAATGTCAGGCTTACTTGGGGCTCCATTGAATGTCAGGCTTACTTGGGGCTCCATTGAATGTCAGGCTTACTTGGGGCTCCATTGAATGTCAGGCTTACTTGGGGCTCCATTGAATGTCAGGCTTACTTGGGGCTCCATTGAATGTCAGGCTTACTTGGGGCTCCATTGAATGTCAGGCTTACTTGGGGCTCCATTGAATGTCAGGCTTACTTGGGGCTCCATTGAATGTCAGGCTTACTTGGGGCTCCATTGAATGTCAGGCTTACTCATCAAGGACCTGGCTTCTTATTGGCCCTGCCTGCCTTTCACCCCTTCAATCCCCCACACCCCCCCAGGTGAGTGGGGGTTGAGGTGGGTGGGTTGAGGGGGGTCAGCTGAGGGGGTTTTTGCCTATTTTCCCCCCAGTATTTCCTGAAAGGCCAAGACTTACCTAGTCTGCCCCAGTTTTTCCTGAACAGCACCTCTCTGCCTTAAACTCACCCCTCCGCCTCCTTCCGGCTCGCTTAATCCCCTTCCTACTCTTGAGATTTCTCAGAAGTGAGTTTAATCCCCTTCCTATTCTTGAGAATTCTCAGAAGTGATTTTAATCCCCTTCCGATTCTTGAGAATTCTCATAAGTGATTTTAATCCCCTCCTTAATCTCCTGTGCTGCCCTTTCCGCTCCGCTTCCCAGAGCAGGCGGCCTGCCATAAGTGCTTCTCTCTCCTTCCCCAGCCCACCCTCCATCTTCCTCTCGCTCTCTTCTTTCCAGGCTGTAGCCAGGGCTGAGATAGAGGATGTGCTACTGGCGGTGGAGAGCGAGGAAGATATCTTGTTTTTGAGTCGACTCAAAAGCAGGCGGCCTGCCATAAGTCCCTCTCTCTCCTTCCCCACCCCACACTCCATCCTCCTCTCCCTCTCTTCCCTCCAGGCTGTAGCCAGGGCTGAGATAGAGGATGTGCTACAGGTGGTGGAGAGAGAGGAATATATTTTGAGTGGCCAAAAAAGGTGGGAAGATGTGATAATTGAGAACGGAGAACTCTCTTTAAAATAGTAGAACTACTTTTGAGAATTCCCAATGCCGTAAGGATGGGAGGAAGTGGAAATGAATGGATCAAAGTGAGATCTGATCTGAGGTAGGATTTCTGAGATTTGCGCAGAATAGTGAGCCAGCTTGATTTCTGAGATTTGCGCAGAATAGTGAGCCAGCTTGATTTCTGAGATTTGCGCAGAATAGTGAGCCAGCTTGATTTCTGAGATTTGCGCAGAATAGTGAGCCAGCTTGATTTCTGAGATTTGCGCAGAATAGTGAGCCAGCTTGATTTCTGAGATTTGCGCAGAATAGTGAGCCAGCTTGATTTCTGAGATTTGCGCAGAATAGTGAGCCAGCTTGATTTCTGAGATTTGCGCAGAATAGTGAGCCAGCTTGATTTCTGAGATTTGCGCAGAATAGTGAGCCAGCTTGATTTCTGAGATTTGCGCAGAATAGTGAGCCAGCTTGATTTCTGAGATTTGCGCAGAATAGTGAGCCAGCTTGATTTCTGAGATTTGCGCAGAATAGTGAGCCAGCTTGATTTCTGAGATTTGCGCAGAATAGTGAGCCAGCTTGATTTCTGAGATTTGCGCAGAATAGTGAGCCAGCTTGATTTCTGAGATTTGCGCAGAATAGTGAGCCAGCTTGATTTCTGAGATTTGCGCAGAATAGTGAGCCAGCTTGATTTCTGAGATTTGCGCAGAATAGTGAGCCAGCTTGATTTCTGAGATTTGCGCAGAATAGTGAGCCAGCTTGATTTCTGAGATTTGCGCAGAATAGTGAGCCAGCTTGATTTCTGAGATTTGCGCAGAATAGTGAGCCAGCTTGATTTCTGAGATTTGCGCAGAATAGTGAGCCAGCTTGATTTCTGAGATTTGCGCAGAATAGTGAGCCAGCTTGATTTCTGAGATTTGCGCAGAATAGTGAGCCAGCTTGATTTCTGAGATTTGCGCAGAATAGTGAGCCAGCTTGATTTCTGAGATTTGCGCAGAATAGTGAGCCAGCTTGATTTCTGAGATTTGCGCAGAATAGTGAGCCAGCTTGATTTCTGAGATTTGCGCAGAATAGTGAGCCAGCTTGATTTCTGAGATTTGCGCAGAATAGTGAGCCAGCTTGATTTCTGAGATTTGCGCAGAATAGTGAGCCAGCTTGATTTCTGAGATTTGCGCAGAATAGTGAGCCAGCTTGATTTCTGAGATTTGCGCAGAATAGTGAGCCAGCTTGATTTCTGAGATTTGCGCAGAATAGTGAGCCAGCTTGATTTCTGAGATTTGCGCAGAATAGTGAGCCAGCTTGATTTCTGAGATTTGCGCAGAATAGTGAGCCAGCTTGATTTCTGAGATTTGCGCAGAATAGTGAGCCAGCTTGATTTCTGAGATTTGCGCAGAATAGTGAGCCAGCTTGATTTCTGAGATTTGCGCAGAATAGTGAGCCAGCTTGATTTCTGAGATTTGCGCAGAATAGTGAGCCAGCTTGATTTCTGAGATTTGCGCAGAATAGTGAGCCAGCTTGATTTCTGAGATTTGCGCAGAATAGTGAGCCAGCTTGATTTCTGAGATTTGCGCAGAATAGTGAGCCAGCTTGATTTCTGAGATTTGCGCAGAATAGTGAGCCAGCTTGATTTCTGAGATTTGCGCAGAATAGTGAGCCAGCTTGATTTCTGAGATTTGCGCAGAATAGTGAGCCAGCTTGATTTCTGAGATTTGCGCAGAATAGTGAGCCAGCTTGATTTCTGAGATTTGCGCAGAATAGTGAGCCAGCTTGATTTCTGAGATTTGCGCAGAATAGTGAGCCAGCTTGATTTCTGAGATTTGCGCAGAATAGTGAGCCAGCTTGATTTCTGAGATTTGCGCAGAATAGTGAGCCAGCTTGATTTCTGAGATTTGCGCAGAATAGTGAGCCAGCTTGATTTCTGAGATTTGCGCAGAATAGTGAGCCAGCTTGATTTCTGAGATTTGCGCAGAATAGTGAGCCAGCTTGATTTCTGAGATTTGCGCAGAATAGTGAGCCAGCTTGATTTCTGAGATTTGCGCAGAATAGTGAGCCAGCTTGATTTCTGAGATTTGCGCAGAATAGTGAGCCAGCTTGATTTCTGAGATTTGCGCAGAATAGTGAGCCAGCTTGATTTCTGAGATTTGCGCAGAATAGTGAGCCAGCTTGATTTCTGAGATTTGCGCAGAATAGTGAGCCAGCTTGATTTCTGAGATTTGCGCAGAATAGTGAGCCAGCTTGATTTCTGAGATTTGCGCAGAATAGTGAGCCAGCTTGATTTCTGAGATTTGCGCAGAATAGTGAGCCAGCTTGATTTCTGAGATTTGCGCAGAATAGTGAGCCAGCTTGATTTCTGAGATTTGCGCAGAATAGTGAGCCAGCTTGATTTCTGAGATTTGCGCAGAATAGTGAGCCAGCTTGATTTCTGAGATTTGCGCAGAATAGTGAGCCAGCTTGATTTCTGAGATTTGCGCAGAATAGTGAGCCAGCTTGATTTCTGAGATTTGCGCAGAATAGTGAGCCAGCTTGATTTCTGAGATTTGCGCAGAATAGTGAGCCAGCTTGATTTCTGAGATTTGCGCAGAATAGTGAGCCAGCTTGATTTCTGAGATTTGCGCAGAATAGTGAGCCAGCTTGATTTCTGAGATTTGCGCAGAATAGTGAGCCAGCTTGATTTCTGAGATTTGCGCAGAATAGTGAGCCAGCTTGATTTCTGAGATTTGCGCAGAATAGTGAGCCAGCTTGATTTCTGAGATTTGCGCAGAATAGTGAGCCAGCTTGATTTCTGAGATTTGCGCAGAATAGTGAGCCAGCTTGATTTCTGAGATTTGCGCAGAATAGTGAGCCAGCTTGATTTCTGAGATTTGCGCAGAATAGTGAGCCAGCTTGATTTCTGAGATTTGCGCAGAATAGTGAGCCAGCTTGATTTCTGAGATTTGCGCAGAATAGTGAGCCAGCTTGATTTCTGAGATTTGCGCAGAATAGTGAGCCAGCTTGATTTCTGAGATTTGCGCAGAATAGTGAGCCAGCTTGATTTCTGAGATTTGCGCAGAATAGTGAGCCAGCTTGATTTCTGAGATTTGCGCAGAATAGTGAGCCAGCTTGATTTCTGAGATTTGCGCAGAATAGTGAGCCAGCTTGATTTCTGAGATTTGCGCAGAATAGTGAGCCAGCTTGATTTCTGAGATTTGCGCAGAATAGTGAGCCAGCTTGATTTCTGAGATTTGCGCAGAATAGTGAGCCAGCTTGATTTCTGAGATTTGCGCAGAATAGTGAGCCAGCTTGATTTCTGAGATTTGCGCAGAATAGTGAGCCAGCTTGATTTCTGAGATTTGCGCAGAATAGTGAGCCAGCTTGATTTCTGAGATTTGCGCAGAATAGTGAGCCAGCTTGATTTCTGAGATTTGCGCAGAATAGTGAGCCAGCTTGATTTCTGAGATTTGCGCAGAATAGTGAGCCAGCTTGATTTCTGAGATTTGCGCAGAATAGTGAGCCAGCTTGATTTCTGAGATTTGCGCAGAATAGTGAGCCAGCTTGATTTCTGAGATTTGCGCAGAATAGTGAGCCAGCTTGATTTCTGAGATTTGCGCAGAATAGTGAGCCAGCTTGATTTCTGAGATTTGCGCAGAATAGTGAGCCAGCTTGATTTCTGAGATTTGCGCAGAATAGTGAGCCAGCTTGATTTCTGAGATTTGCGCAGAATAGTGAGCCAGCTTGATTTCTGAGATTTGCGCAGAATAGTGAGCCAGCTTGATTTCTGAGATTTGCGCAGAATAGTGAGCCAGCTTGATTTCTGAGATTTGCGCAGAATAGTGAGCCAGCTTGATTTCTGAGATTTGCGCAGAATAGTGAGCCAGCTTGATTTCTGAGATTTGCTCCTTGCTTCTCCTCGCCCCAAGAGACAACATGAAAGTGCGACTGCTGCATCTTGCCTCATCGCCTCTCCCTTTCCCCTTTCCACCGCCACCACCACTGGCACCACAAAGATCTCTTTTGAGTCGACTCAGAAGTTGCGGCATCTTACCTCACTCACCTCTCCCTCTCCCCTCTCCACCCCGCCAGCAGGTGCAAGCCCAGCTTCCCAAATGCTCTCCTTTTGAGTCGACTCAAAAGTCAGCTTCCCAGGTGCTCTCCTTTTGAGTCGACTCAAAAGTCAGCTTCCCAGGTGCTCTCCTTTTGAGTCGACTCAAAAGTCAGCTTCCCAGGTGCTCTCCTTTTGAGTCGACTCAAAAGTCAGCTTCCCAGGTGCTCTCCTTGCTTGTCTGGAGAAACTCACATGGCTTGTCTGTGTGTTTTTTAAACATCCCCCAACTTCCTCTTTGATTTGAACTCATCTTTTTTCCTTGTGTTCTTCCTCATTGATTTGACAATGTTCTATCATGTCACTTGAGGGCCGTCAAAATACACCTCAATGGTTGCAGATAGTGTGTGTGAGCCAGCTTTGTCCTTGACACTGTTCAATCATGTCAATAATTTATACTTTTGTGCGGACGCAGGCTCATTATGCTCTTTATGCTGATCATATTCGTCCTCATCATCATGCATTTTTGAGACGTTCAAAACTCATCATCCTCATCCTCCTCATCATCCTCATTTTCACGATCAGGCACATTATTCATCATCATTATTCTCCAACTCCTCCTGTCCATCATCGTTACACTTCCCCCTCGTTCCATTCCAGATCCGCTCCTTGCTTTCTCTCACCCCAAAAATCATCTCAGGAGTGCGACTGCTGCATCTTGCCGCACTCGCCTCTCCCTCTCCCCTCCGCACCTCTGCCACCACTGGCACCACAAAGATGCCACCTGCTATCTCACCACTTACATCGCCGCTTGAATACCTACGAAGCCGGCAATATGTGCAAGCCCAGCTTCCCAGGTGCTCTCTGTGCTTCTCTGATGAGGGCTCACATGGCTTCTCTGTGTGATTTTAAAACATCCCCCAACTTCCTCTTTCAAGTCATCTTTTTTTTTCCTTTTGCCCTGCCCACATTTCTCCCCACACTCCCATCCACACTCCTGCCCACACTCCCAACCACACTTCCACCCAATCTCCTACCCACGCTCCCCCACAGTGCCCCTCATCCCACCCTCCCTAGAAACATGTTTACTTTCCGCTCCCTCTAAAGTCAACCTGCTGGTGTTCTCGGAGGGGTTCGACTCTTTCCTTGCTGCCTTGCTGCTGCATTTAGCAGTCTCAGACTCGCATTCCCACCCTCCCTAGAAACATGTTTACTTTCCTCTCCCTCTAAAGCCAACCTGTTAGTGTTCTCAAGGAGGGTCGACTCTTCCCTTGCTGCATAGAGCAAGGTGACTTTTGAGTAGACTCAAAAGTCACCTTGTTCTCAAGGAGGGTCGACTCTTCCCTTGCTGCATAGAGCACTCTCAGACTCGCACTACCCTCCCTCACTCACACGCATAGTACTATTCACACACACACACACACAGACACACACACACACACACACACACACACACACAAACACACACACACTCACTCCCACTTATACACAGGCTCACTCACACAGTCACATACAAACCATGCCTACACTCCAACTCCCGCCCCCAATCACAATCAAATCATATTCACGCTCGCATTCACGCTCCTATGCTAAGTGTGGAGGAGGAGATGGTGAGTCAATAGGGGGAGAGGGTGAGTGGAGAGGGGGAATCGTGAGAGGGGAGGGGGGATGAGTAGAGATGAAGCAGTGGAGAGGATAGATGTCCTCGGTAAATACTGGTACCTTACGAGAGGTATTGAGGTGCCTCAAAACTCTTTGCACCTTTTTCCTTTATCATTTCCACTTGTAGTATCATGCACCATGGTAAACTGCACTATTTATGTTGTAACTTAAGTTAGTAATCGTTACCCTTTCCCAAACTCTCTCCCTACCAGATTGGATCCCTCCTCTTGCAGCATCCCACCTCACTCCCTCCTTCACTCCCCTCTCTGCCACTGCCACCAGCACTGCCACATGGCTGAGGATGCTCAGCCTGTTTGGTTGTGTGCGATTGAAGTTATTGCCATATGATTTGACGCAGCTGAAGGTGCTGCAGTATGTGAAGGTTCATGTAGCAATGTTTTCTGACTTTCTGTTTCAGATGGTGCAACAGAATTGCCTAAAATATTGAAAAACACAAACATGGAATGGATTAGTGAGAAGGTGCCAGCAAGAATCTGAATGCAAGTGTCGGAGCAGCCAATAGATATACATTTTACACCTCTGTGCCTCCTCTCAACCACTCCGTATACCCCAAAACACCAAAGCTGAGACTGCGCCAATCCGACATGGTACCTACCTGTTGAAACACTGCGCCCATCTCAGAGAACAAAGGGTTAAACATCAGTTGAACAAAATCTCTTAGGTAGTTAGTTACCCCATATGTCCAGCTATGTTGAATGTGTAACTAGTACTGAACAAAGAAACAAACAACATTTCAAGCACGTTAGTAACTGCTGAAAGCACGCACTGTCCTATTGACAAGACACATGAGGGCTGGCTAGCCTGTAGCTATTGTAGAAATGTAAGTGCATGTATGACAGTGGTTTTGTCCAGGCAAGCTGGCTTGCAACTGTAGCAAAAACCGTGGGCTTGAGGTTGGTGGCTTGAAGGAAGGTGCTGCTGATTGTCAGCCGAAACTATTGGTGATACCACTTTTGCACATCAATAGCAAAACGCACGAGACAACAATGGCCAAGGTCATGTGTATTGTACCCATAGCATGGGTTATTTTATCAGAGTAAATTACTCTGTTTCTCTGAAAATCAGAGTGGTTTTTGGGGGGTCGCTCTGACGTTTCTGGGTAATTTTTCTGGAAGATAAGTTTTCTCTGATTTGCCAGGGTTTTTTTTAGCTACTCTGATAGACCAGTGTAAATTTCTGGCGAATGCAATTTTCTCTGTACAGGGTACATGCATTTCGACCGAGCCCCCCCCAAAAATGGCTAGCAGGCAAGTATTTCTCTATAGAATGTGCATTTCCTAAATATGTAGTGAGCGGATAGCACAATGGTACTACATACTTTTGTAGGAGCGCGGCAGGCGTGGGTTCAACACTTGAGAGGACACACAGAGTTGGAAAATTAGGTACACTGACTGATCAGAGTTGTTTTTGCAGAAGTTAAGTTTTCTCTGACAAATCAGAGTAACGCTCATGATCAACCCTGATTATCAGAGCTTTGGGAGGCCCACTGCTGGATCTGCTGATGCTGCTGCGACGACTGCTGCTGCGACGACTGCTGCTGCTGCTGCTGCTGCTGCGTCACTGCCACACCCCCAGGACCAGCACCTCATCTGGCCGTACCACCAAACCCGGAACCTCCTCCAGCGCCAGACCTCCCAGACGTACCAGCACCTCCACCGCCTCCACCACCTCCACCCCCTCCACTCCTACGACCACTCTTGCGACGTCGCTGCCCACCAGAGGCAGCAACTGCTGCAATCTTTGTCGGGGCAACAGGCTCAACTCCAGCAGCGGAGGCAGCGGAGGCACTGAGCAGAGACGGGGCACACCCCTCAAAGATAGAGGGAAGCACCGAACCATGAACGAAGGCTAGGGTGCGTAGGCGAGTCTCGATCTCCGTGAGACGCGTCTCAAAGAGGTCGATAGTGAGAGTCGTGGGGTGCACAGTAAGGAAGTGATCCCGGGCAGCCACGAAGCGATCAGGAAGGCGGGTCGCGAGGAGATACAGTGTGATATACATGGGGGGCTGATTCTTAGCAAGAAACTCAGTAGTGCAAGCAGCGCGGAACCTAGCGTCAAGCGAGCGCAGGTGCCTGACCAGGTCACCGATGGTATGGAACGAAGGGAGATCAGGAAATAGGAAGGGCAGAATGAGGCGGCCTAAAGTACCAGACGAAGGAGTGGAGTAGCGAGCAATAACAGCATCCAAACACTCCTTCGCGGTCTTCACCTGGTTGAAGTGCTTCCGCTCGGCCAGCGGGAGGTGGCGGCGGATGGCGAGGCGTGCAGCAGCGTCGCGTGCCTTCCAGCGCCTGTACTCCAGGCTAGCCGCGCGGTATTCCTCCTTCTGCGCCCGCGTGGCGTCATATTGCGGCAAGATCACAAGGACACGGCGGGGTTGGGAGCTCACCCGAAGCGTGGTCGTACAGGGAGACGTCCTGCTGAACCTGGCTCGTCAGGTAGAGCTTGACTTCGAGCAGCCACTCATCGAAGTCGATCGCACGACCCTCCGCATCGAAACGTAAGACCGACTCAATCGCCACAGCAGGAGGCAGAGGCACAGCTGCAGGAATATAAGATGTTAGGAAAAAACATAAAGATTTATGAGTGCTGATAAGAGTGCAAAAGCAAGGTAGAAAAGACATTGAAATCATCCACTAGGATCGCCACAGATCAACGCTCCTTGAGAGCAATGTTTTGAGACGTCTCAAAACGCTCCTTGAGAGCAATGAGAGCTTAGTGCAGAGGGTTGAGTGCAGAGCGTCCGTGCCAAATGCGACTGAGGGGAGTGAGGGAGGGAGGGGAGTAGTCAGGGAGGAGGCAGAGGGAGGAGGCAGAGGAAGGATGAAGGGAAGTCAAAGGTAGGGGACTGGTGGGGAGGGGGAGAGGGAGAAGGCAGAGGGAGGAGACGAGTGGGCACGGCAGAGGGATGAAGCAGAGGGAGGAGACGAGGGAAGGAGGCACGGGAACACAAGTGAGGTAGTGGCACAATGGTCAATCAGTCTATTGATCAACCCTAATTCAGAGCAACAAGGGTGGAACCTTTTGAGCCGCCTCGAAAGTCGCAAGGTAGTGCCACGATGATCAATCACTCTATCAATCAACCCTCCTTGAGAGCAACAAGGGTAGAAACTTGACTGAGTGACTGGTTTCCAACTTACCCAGGACTTTTGAAGTTGAAGTTACTAGCACGCTTCTGCTCTTCCTTTGCCAGCTTGCAAAAAACGTGGTGGTGGTTATCAGAAGCGCCGCATACAGTGGTAACCATATGCACACAGGCTAAGGGTGTTTTTTTACGATTCTCAATGAGTTTTAAGAGTTCTCAAGGGGTTTTTG